TATCATCCTGTAATGTTCACTCACTTTTTGGAGATCTTTCAAATGTAGTGTTATGTGACTATACCAAAATTTTTTTTTCCCCTAGGGTACATGTGCACAACGTGCAGGTTTGTTACATAGGTATACATGTGCTATGTTGGTTTGGTGCACCCATCAACTTGTCATTTATATTAGGTGTTTCTCCTAACGCTATCCCTTCCCCAGCTCGCTACCCCTCAACAGGCCCCAGTGTGTGATGTTCCCCTCCCTGTGTCCATGTGTTCTCATTGTTCAACTCCAGCTTATGAGAACATGTGGTGTTTGGTTTTCTTTTCTTGTTTTCTGTTTTGCTGAGAATGATGGTTTCTAGCTTCATCCATGTCCCTGCAAAGGACATGAACTCATCCTTTTTTAATGGCTGCATAGTATTCCATGGTATATATGTGCTACATTTTCTTTATCCAGTCTATTATTGATGGACATTTGGGTTGGTTCCAAGTCTTTGCTATTGTGAATAGTGTCACAGTAAACATACGTGTGCATGTGTCTTTATAGTAGCATAATTTATAATCCTTTGAGTATATACCCAGTAATGGGATGGCTAGGTCAAATGGTATTTCTAGTTCTAGATCCTTGAGGAATTGCCACACTGTCTTCCACAATGGTTGAACTAATTTACACTCCCACCAACAGTGTAAAAGCGTTCATATTTCTCCACATCCTCTCCAGCATGTTTCCTGACTTTTTAGTGATTGTCATTCTAACTGGCATGAGATGGTATGTCATTGTGATTTTGATTTGCATTTCTCTGATGACCAGTGATGAGCATTTTTTCATATGTCTGTTGGCTGCAGAAATGTCTTATTTGGAGAAGTGTCTGTTCATATCCTCTGCCCACTTTTTGATGGTTTTTTTTGTTGTTGTTGTAAATTTATTTAAGTTCTTTGTAGATTCTGGATATTAGCCCTTTGTCAGATGGACAGATTGCAAAAATTTTCTTCCGTTCTGCCTGTTCACTCTGATGATAGTTTCTTTTGCTGTGCAGAAACTCTTCAATTAGATCTCATTTGTCTATTTTGGCTTTGTTACCATTGCTTTTGGTGTTTTAGACATGAAGTCTTTGCCCATGCCTATGTCCTGAATGGGCTAAACCAAATTCTTAATTTCTGTGTTGGTGTACGTAGTATGGATACCATAATTGACACAGGTATTTACCTATTGAAAGACAAGCTTTTTGCAGTTTTTAGTTCATAGCAACAATTTTACAGAGCATGTTTGTATCTGCCACTTTGTTTATGTGTGACTTTCTCTGGAGTAGAAATGGAGGCGTGGAAATCTGCTTCAGAGGGTTTCCACACTGAGGACTTTCACAGAGATTGCTTCCCACTTATCACTGGCAGCAGATCACTTGATAACCAAACAGTTTTTAAATTATAATATTCTGGTGAGTGGAATGATTTCCTTGGTGAATCGTCAATTTTTCTTTTTTTCTTACCAATTTGTAGGGGTTTTTGTTTTAATCTGAAAATACGCTGGTTGCTAATCCATGGTGAATAGATTTTTAAATAGATTTTTGCCAAGTAAAAGCAAACTGCCTCTCACGGTGCAAAAGGCTTTAAGGAAATAACTGCATGTCAAGTCCCAGGAGCATACTAATTTGTTTCAGTAAAGATGCTAAGTCTGTGAGAGCAGCTGCAATTGAAATCACCACCTCATTAAGATGTGGAACTGATACTCCCTAGTTGTTTCTAAGATCTGTCTTCTGCATAGGCCAGAGTGGTGAGTTAAATGATGAAGGGATGGGTATCATCACCCTTGTTTCTTTCGAGTCTTTGATGGTGGCATTAATGCCCAGGGCCATTTCCCCAGGGTTATAGTATTGCTTCTGGTTTGCTTTTTTGATAGGGAAAGTTCCAGAGACTTCCAGTGATCCTACCATAATTGATTCTTAGCTCATATGTCAAAAACAATACGGAAATTCTTCATATTGTTAATTGTATTTATTCTAATTATTCACTCAGGAACTGGGGAAGTAGTCACAGGGTGGGTCCATGTACCTATTTGGTCCATTGTAATTCAGACCTGAGCTATGACTCTATATCATCTTACTGTAAGCCTTCATTTTGACTGGTAAGCCACAATGGTGTTTTGGGTACCCAAGAATTAGCATTAATTTAGGCCCTGGGTCTAGTAACCACCAAAATGTCTGGGTATTTTCTTTTCTCTGAAGAACAGTAATTTAAGAAAACGATTGCAGGTCCCTTGGGGAACGGTTTGGAGGAAGATTTATAACATGAACCTGCAGCAGTGAAGGGTCCTTCCTCAAGGAGATCCAGCCTCCCCTTTGGTCAGGGGCTTCTGGTCTGTGAATTGACTCAAATCTGGAACCTGGGTCAGAGGCTGTGACTCCTCACTGTGGTGACTCAAGTTTTGGCTACTAGACCTGTAGATTTTTCTGTTATATACATTAAGCAATTCTGTTACATTAAGCAATATAACAGCAATTCTGTTATATACATTAAGCAATTTCTGTTATATACATTAAGCAATCTATGATTTCATACTTGGGGACACATTAACTACCAAAGAACTCTGCAGGCCAAGGGATTCTGACTACTGATACATCCCTGTTGCCCTTTATAATGGATGTGCCTACCTTGTCTTTTGCCAGTTAAAGCCTGCCACTTGGTGCTTCCACTTTGGAATTGCATTTTCTTCATTGAAATCACGGGGCCTATCTCAATGGCAATGAGAAACTTGATGAGCTTATAAATACAACTGTCATTGTAATTTATCATGCCAATAATAAAAATTTGTGCTCGATTTTTAGCAATATCATCCCTGTGACTATAAGAAATAAGAGATACTTTTAGGTGTATCATGGAAGCTTTCTGGTCTCAGACCATGAATTAAGCCTAGAATTAAAGGTCATGAGCTTGTCATTTTCTTCCAGAAGTGCTGAAGTGCATTCAAAAAAATCCACCTCACACCACAGTTTCTACAGTCAACTTAACTACCATGATAGTGTAGTAGCAATTGAGGCTCCTAAAGGCACATACTTCAGTAGGTACTTTAGCACAATCTACTACCGGTAACAACATGATTGTGAAGCCACTGCATGCAAATAATACTAACATTCCAATTTCCTATTGGCTCAGCACTGAACAAATCCCAAGTTCCATCTGTGTTCTGTTTCAATACATTTTCTATTGTTTATAACACTACCTGAAACTGGGAAATTCGTAAACAAAAGGAATTTATTTCTTAAAGTTATGGAGGCTGGGAAGTCCAAGGTTGAGGAGGCACATTTGGTAAGAGCCTTCATGCTGGTGGGGACCCTCCACAGAGACCTGAGGCAGCACAGGGCATCACATGGTGAAGGAGCTGAGCATGCTAACCCGTTTTCCTTTCTTATAAAGCCACCAGTCCCACTCCCATGATAGTCCATTAATTTAACAACCCACAAATCCATTGATTTGTGGATTGAATGGATTCATCCACTCATAAGGGCAGAATCTTCATAACCCAATCACCTCTTAAAGGTCTCACCTTTCAGTACTGCCACATTGGGGATTAAATTTTAACATGAGTTTTGGAGAGGACAAACATTCAAACCATAGCAGGTCTATCCTCTGGGAACACCTGCTTCTGGTACCAGTTCTATATCAGTGATGGGCCAATCAGGAGACAGAAAGCACACAGTAATTCAAACAGGGAAAGTCTGATATAAAGAATTATTAACTATATCAAAGGATTGGCATACTGCTTGTAAGCAATAAAGAGAACTCGAAAGAATACAAGGATAGCAGATGTAGGGACCAGCCACTACCCTTCAGGGCTGAGATCTAGACCTCATTGGAGGGGATCTGGCCAAAGCTTATTGGATGGCTGAGAAAGTCACTGAGACTGCAAAGCTATTCAGAGGGATGCTGGGGGGGACCCGTCACAGGAGGTGCCATGCAAGTGGCACTCTACCATGGAGCTACATGCATCACTGGAGCCAGGCACCACAGAAGCTGTATATGCTACAGGAAGCTGGTGCTGCAGAAGCCATGCACACTGCAAGAGCCTGCCTAGAGGAGCGCACGGTAACCTGGGAAAAAACCCTGCCACCTCCTCCAGGGTCCCTCCAGCACCCTCTACTGACAAAGCTTAACATCTTGCCAGTTGGCAAAGAGGAAATGTTTATAGGGTCCATATTTGTTATTGCAGAACAGACAATAAAGAATGAATTTGGAGCTGAGATATCAGTTGATAACTGACACAGTATTTTATCATACTGAAGTTTTAGTTCTGATATCAAAGTTATCAATTTTCCTCTTGGCTTTAATATTGCTTAAAAAAATCAGTTTGTGCATGTGTCATGTGTGTCTGTGTATGTGTGCATGTGTACGTACGTGCATTTAGATCTTTAATCCATTTGGAATTTATAATGTATGGGGTAAGGTGATGATTTTATTCCAGATAGCCTCCATGTTCTCTTTAATTTGAAAAGCCACATGTATCATATATAAATTTATGCATGTAAATGTTTCTCTGCTCTGTTCATCTATTAATTGCTTTACACAAGACAGATTTTCTTGTCTGAACAAAAAGGACTTGGATTAGGACTTGACTAAAGTCTGAGGAATTCTTTGGCATTTGTAGGAAGAATGAAAAGATTGTTAATAGAGGACGGCAAATTTGTTTTCTAAGTGAAACAAATGCTTTGATGTTCATTTGTGTTAATCTCTATTAACATACTTTGGTTTTTCACTTGTTAGTAAACACTGCTTAGAAGTGAGAGCCTCTATCTTAGCTGTCCTGCCTACCTACTAACTCTAGAATTCATATTGAGAGGCTGCTGGTTGACCAGAGGCAAAGGCTGACTTGCAGGAATGCAAATCAATGCTTAGGTTTTAAAGTCTAGGACCAACCCCTACTTCACCTGGGGTTGGTTCAAGATGTAATCATCTCATTCCTTCAAACCCTATCTTCCAAGTACAGATAAGAAAATTTCATACATAAAATTAAATAAGAGGTTTAGTGGCATTTGGAGTCATTTTTATTCATTCAAATACTCGTAGAAATAAAGGTTGGAAAAAGAAGATAGATCACCAGTCAGCTCTAAATGGGAATCTGGATGGAGCTATTTGAACCTGAAAAGCTGTCAGTTGAACATTTTCTGCCATATTGGGAAACATCATCAATCCTTTTTTTGTGTTTGATAGGTACCTGTAATATAAGTAGATATTGGTGTTTGTTAACAACACAGTGAATAATTCTTGTTATAGCATCGTAAAAAGTCACTGTTATTAATGAGACCAAGATCATTGATTTGGTCTGGGTTAGGCCAGACCATATAGTTAGTATGCCTTCTTGTCTGTATTTTGCCACTTGTCATGAAGGGAATTGGTCAAGAATGAATTCATCAATGGAAAGCCATTTCCAGTTAAGGAAGATAACACAGTTCATATTTCAAGTAATCTAAAATTCCTTAATTTTTTATCATTTGTGTTAGTGCAGGGCTAATTTTAGAAAATTAACTGTACTCTTACATTTCAGCCATGTATAAATTCCTCTTCAATCATTATTTATCTGACTTGTCTCATAGGCCATAAGAAGTCAGACCTGAGATCTGAAGAAGTTCTAGCTAACTGTGTACCTTCCCTGGCCTTGAGGTTTTTTGCTTGAGCTTCCCATATTGTACATAGCCACTGGGCCAATGGGCCCACAGGACGTTTCACTATAGGGTTTATTTATTTGGTAGGGCAGTGTTCATCAATTAGCCTTAGACCATCACCCTTCTGAATCTCTCAAATATAGTAAATCTTCACTAATGCACTTAGCTGCTTAGCAGCCTTTTCAACAAGTCGTAACCACCAACACCCCCATGGTACTTGCACCTTTCAGGGTGAAATGGAGATGAAGTGATTCTTGAAAGTCCTTGTGATCCCACACATACAAAGTGAACTTTGCTTCTTTTTGCAAAAGGCTTTTGCAGAAACATAGACATATAATAAAATTTCACATTTTCAAGAAAGATGACTGCACAGAGATTGGTGAGTCAAGCGAATGGTGGACATCAATAATGTGGCCCTGACTTGGTCAAGATGGTGTTTGGGTATCTTCCCAACCTGTCTTTCCCCCTTCTTAACTGCATGTTTAGAAATCTTGAAACTTTTGGTCCTTATAACTAGACCATCAGCTGCAGAATTACACCATCAAATGACTTGGAATGGCATACTTTTCTCTGAAGGAATGATTAAATCTTTTCCTCTTAATTTTTCTTCAGGTAATGGGGAAGAATTCTGTTTTTTTTGTTTTTGTTTTTTTTTTTTTTTTGAGACAAAGTCTCACTCTTGTTGCCCAGGCTGGAGTGCAATTGCAATGGCGTGATCTCAGCTCACCGCAACCTCTGCCTCCCAGGCTCAAGTGATTCTCCTGCCTCAGCCTCCCAAGTAGCTGGGATTACAGGCGACCACCACCACACCTGGCTAATTTCTGTATTTTTCATAGAGACAGGGTTTCACCATGTTGGCCATGCTGGTCTCAAACTCCTGACCTCAGGTGATCTGCCTGCCTCAGCCTCCCAAAGTGCTGGGATTACAGGCGTGAGCCACCATGCCCAGCCAGGAATTCTTAAATGTGTTTATTAGATATGTGAATCTCTAGAAGGGATTCTGAAAGAAAATGGAGCAAAGAGCAAAATACTTACTAAAGCAGTAGAGAGGAGACAGTGGAAGAGGAAGTATATGTTATTTTACATAAACTAAAAACTGAAACTTACGAGTTCTTCAAATACGTGCTAATCTGCATCCCAACAGTTTTCTTGGAGGGTAGATTTCTCACGTGTTTTAAAATGACTTCCAAAACTATTTCTGCTCTGTTGGGGAACTCAGATAAGGAGTCTGATGCTGCTAGTTAATTGTTGAAGATGATTGGGGGAAAAAAGAAATTCAGAGATGGAACACAGCAAGGTGTTGGTACTGATTCCACACCCATTTATTGACTTGTAATTTAGAAGGTACTATTATAGGATTATTTCAACATCAGAATTTTCTTATCCAGATTCAAGGCACCTACATAAGCTCCTGATATATCATTTTTCTAATGTAAGTCTGAAGTGACCCAAAAACCAAAAAATCAAATTGTAAAGCTTTATTGTTTAATGCATGTAATCAATCTTATCATTACTTACAGTCTGTGGCCTTGGAATCCATCTTGTTATTTTACTGCCTTTGAGATTAGTCTTTAAAAAGCGTTGCTGGGAGTATCTGGATGATATGGAAGCAGCAGTTGGGGAGTATTGAGCCTGGGATATAAGGTCTGTAAAGTTAGAAATGTTAAATTATATCTCTGGTTGCAATGGATAAACCCAGATTATCTTGATTTTTTATTTTTTGAGAGGGGGGCCTCACTCTGTTGCCCAGGCTGGAGTGCAGTGGCATGATCATAGCTCACTGTCACCTCACATTTATGCATCTAGATTTAACTCATAAAATTTAGGGCTTAAAATTGGCATCTAACTCAGCTTAATCAATTGTGTTTCGGCTTCATCAATTTTGAGCAAGTATGTCAAAACTTGGTGTTTTTTGCCTGATAGTCATATGACCAAGTAAAAGTGAAGGAGGTGATGAGAGACTTGGACTGTGGTAGGTAGAAGAGGATAGACTGAGAGCTACTCAAATTAGTCGGAGTTGGGAATTAACCAGATTTGCAGGGTGACAAAGAATAGCTCCCAAATTTCTGGCTTAAGTAACTGGATATTTGGCACTACCATTTGCTGAAACAGCATCTTCCCCACCCCAAAAGTAGGAAGGGAGGAGGATAGGAAGACGGGTTCCATTCTTGTTGAACTTGTAAGCCTGAGACACATGAATGTAGACATTATTCACTGGATATATGGGTCATTGGATATATGGGTTTACAGCTCAGAGGAGAGTTTTGAGCTGCAGATGCAGACTTAGCAGACAATGATTAAAGCTGTGGGAAATATGCAATTATCTGGAGACAATGTGAGGTGAGAGGAGAAGGGGCCAGAAAGATCCCTGAACAACTTCAATGTTTAGAGGTTGGATACAGTAGGGCGAACTAGAAAAGAAGACAGAAAAAGCAGCCAGAGGAAGAGAAAAACCACAAGGAGCGGTGCCAGGGGAGCAATTAGGGGAACGGTGTGGTCAGCTGTGTCAAATGCTGCTGAGACATGAAATCAGTGAGAACTCAGCAGTGTCCTTTGGACTTGGAGACAGAAGTGAAGGTGATCTTGGCAAGAGCAACTGCAATGAAATGGTGCTGAGAAAAATCAGATTGCTGGCGGTGTGGTAGAAACTTATTCTTGGCCCCCAATTATGAATCTCCCATCTCTTCTTGGAAATAGACCTCACATTTTATGTTCACACAGCGTCCTAGAATAAAAACTACATTTCCCAGTCTCCTTTGTGTGGTCTTGGGCTAAGTGCTGGCCAATGGGATGTATGCCAGAGTGTCACAAGTGACTTCCAGGAACCATTCTTCAAGCTTCAAGGGAGGTGTGGGCCCTTCTTGTTGCCTTCCTCCTTCCTATTGGCCAGAAAGCTTAAGCAGTCATCTCGGACCATGAGGTGGTGAGCAACATTTGGAAGCCACAAGTTGAAAATGGCAAAACCTGAGAGAAATTAAGTGAGGTGAATCACGAAAGTGAGTGTAGGCTGAAGGGGTGGCCTGCCCCTCCACACCTGTGGGTGTTTCTCGTTAGGTGGAACGAGAGACTTGAGAAAAGAAATGAGACACAGAGAGAAAGTATAGAGAGAGAAAAGCGGGGGCCCAGGGGACCGGCGCTCAGCTTACAGAGGACCCACGCCGGCACCGGTCTCTGAGTTCCCTTAGTATTTATAGATAATTATCTTTACCATCTTAAAGATAAGGGAGTGGCAGGACAATAGGATCGTTTTTAGGGAGGAAATCAGCAGTAAGACATAAGAACAAGGAACTCAGGCCGGGCGCGGTGGCTCAAGCCTGTAATCCCAGCACTTTGGGAGGCCGAGGCGGGCGGATCACAAGGTCAGGAGATCGAGACCACAGTGAAACCCCGTCTCTACTAAAAATACAAAAAATTAGCCGGGCGCGGTGGCGGGCGCCTGTAGTCCCAGCTACTCAGGAGGCTGAGGCAGGAGAATGGCGTGAACCGAAGAGGCGGAAGGAGGCGGAGCTTGCAGTGAGCCGAGGTCGCGCCACTGCACTCCAGCCTGGGCAACAGCGTGAGACTCCGTCTCAAAAAAAAAAAAAAAAAAAAAAAAGAACAAAGATCTCTGTGACATGAATAAGTTTAAAGGAAAATCCTGTGCCTTGAGATAAACCTTTTAGCAACATTGTTTCATCCTATCACAAGGGGATAAACCTTGGACAATACCTAGCTTTTCTAGGAACAAAGACACCCTGCACGCCCAAAATCCATTAAACCTTGAGTCACCACAGCACATGTCTCTTGGAAGGACAAGGTTGGGGGTAGGGTCACAGATTAACAGCATCTCAAATACAGAACAAAATGGAGTCTCTTATGTCTACTTCTTTCTATATAGACACAGTAACAGGCTGATCTCTTTCTTTTCCCCACAATAGGCAGCTCTTTTAAGAAGTCTGACTGGGAAGAGAAAGACCTGCGGCAGGGGAAGGAATATGTTGTCAAGGCAGCGGGGGTAGGGGGCGTTATTTTACAGTGGATTTTATGATCCTGGCACATACATGTATGTATGTATTAGAGGGATGCATGGACGGGAAATCCAAGTATGTAGAAAGAAGCAGATAGTTCAAGGCCCCTGAGAAGGTAGCAGCAGATGGGGCCCTTTACATAGGGATTGGCCTGGGGAAGAAAAGGGACGCCCTTTCCATGTTCACAGGAGGGAAGGAGAAGCAGCAGAGTACAGATGTAGGTGGGCTGGGAGACAGGGAGAAAATGGCATTCCTGTCTGAGGGTTTCTAATTTCTCTGTGAAGTGGGAGGGGAAAGGATGAGGGGGTGGGGAGAGTGGACGAAGGTCTGAGGAGACAAGGCAGATTTAAAACAGTTGCTGCAGAGAGGAGGCGAGAGTGAGCTGACCCGACCCTTACTCCAGTGGAGGAGCAGGTAAGCTGGGTCTAAGCCATCCAGGCATGAGTCTTAGTCTGTGGCTCCATCGATTTGTTCAAAATCGGCAACAAGACCCAAGTCAGTCCAGGCAGAGCCCAATTCTTTTTAACTGTCCCATCTCCACGCCCTGCTCCTGCCATGCCGAGCATGAACAGAGATGGAAGCTACAGAGGTGGCTGCCATCTTGCTTCCAAAGAGCCTTGCTTGCTTTCTGCTCCCAGCCTCCTCAGAGCCAGAGATGGAGAGAGTGAAAGCAGTCCTGATGAAGTAGTTCAAACCTAGGTGAAGCTACATTTAGCCAGGCCTCCTCTCAACATTTTACAGTTTTATGAGCCAAGCGATTTCATTTTTTGCTTAAGCATTTCTAAAATAATTGATTTAGAAAAAAATCATAGTTTCTTAGGAGTTGCAAAATCCTAGGGGAATCACGTTAATGGCAAGGAAAGAGAGCTCGCCCTCTGAGCACATCTGTGCTTCCGACGTGGGAGGCAGGGATGCTGCCGTGGCTGCTGCTGCGGAAGACCCCTGGGTCACGTTGAGACTCCAGCTGGACAACAGCAAAGGAAGGAGGAGTGGGAGTATGGCTGACTTTCACTGCTTAGCATGAACAGTATGAGTAATAGCTGGCTGTGCCCTCAAACCCCTCCTCTCCCTGCACAGGGGAACAGAAGGGGGCTGAGGCCCAGGAGTAACCTCTACCTCTACTTCCTGGGAAAGAAGCTTCCTTCCCACTCCTGCTCCCGCCCCAGTCCTGGGAATTAGGGTCTCCCCCACCTGCCTTGTGCCTCACTCTGGTTCTCCTTCACAATAGGCAGGTGTTGGAGGACATGGATGGCAGTTCACTAGGACGCATTATCCCAGGAAGGGATTAGAAAGATGCCTGGCTAGGCTGCGGGCAGAGGGGAAAGGGAGAGAAGGAAAAAATCCCCTGGCACATGGAGAAGACAGTGTAAGGTACAGAACTAAGTAGGGTCAGGCTTCAAGGTAGGGCCCTTGGGTGCTCTTGATGCCCTTTGTGTTGGGGCTGGGGCAGCAGCAACAACCAGTGGCTGGGGTGGGGGACACCAGCTCCCAATGTCAGGTCCAGGCAGCAACCCAGAGGCGGGAAGGAGGGCCCTGTGAGCTTTACTGCCAAGCCCAGCTCTGCTGTTAGTAAACCCAAAGTAACTTCATCTGTGACTTTGTGCTCCTGAAAGGCTGTGTTTCCTCAGCTCATTCACGCTGGAAAGTAGCCAAAAGGAAACACAGATAAAGGGCTAAACACATGTATGCAAGTATAGTAACCAACACTTGCACAATTACTAAGTGCCACTATACTAAGTGTCAGACAGGGATTTTTTTCATTTGATCTCAGAGCAAGCCTTTGAGCTGAGTATTCCCATTTTACAGAGAGGCTCATTAAGATCTGTCTAAGGTCACGCAGCTAGCAGTGACAGAGCCAGGGCCTGAATTCTGGCTGTTTCACTCCAAAGCCCACATACTCAACTACTGGGCTATGTACAGAACAGGAAAGAAGAGGTATGGCCGATCATAACAACAGGCCCATCATGGCTAGTGGTATTTGGTGATATTTCTGATAGATCTAGAAGATAATGTAGAATGTATTTAGTCCTCATCTTACAGAGGAGGAAGGTGGTTTAGAGACATCCTGGGGTCTGGCCTCAGCTCCATGCTGCCTGCTGACTGCACTGCTCAGAGAGCTATTTTGATTGTTGTTTTCAAGGACACCCCAAGCCCCCAGCACCCAAGAATCATAATGTACTTTATGAATAACTCTGAGAAATGGGGTCATTGGTATCCCAAAGCGTTGTCTCAAAATCCAATGAACTGGGTTTTTGTGTGTGTGTGTGTGTGTGTGTGTGTGTGTGTGAGAGAGAGAGAGAGATGGAGTCTCGCTCTGTTACCAGGCTGTAGTGCAATGGCACCATCTCAGCTCACTGCAACCTCCAACTCCTGGGTTCAAGCAATTCTCCTGCCTCAGCCTCCCGAGTAGCTGGAATTACAGACACGTGCCATCACGCCCCCCTAATTTTTGTATTTTTAGTAGAGATGGGGTTTCACCATGTTGGCCAGGATGGTCTGAATCTCCTGACCTTGTGATCCGCCCACCTCAGCCTCCCAAAGTGCTGGGATTACAGGCGTGAGCCACTGTGCCCAGCCAAAACCAGTTTTTTATGACTGAAACCTTTTAGTTTTGGATGTCAGTACTCCAAGGTGCTCAAGTAGGAAGTTTTGACTGTAAATCAGAATTAAGATTTATCCATTTATGTGTCATTCAACAAACATTGTGGAGGACCCACTCAATAACTACTGGATACTTAGTGACTGGGTCCTACCTGAGTCCCTGAGACCCTCCTCAGTTCAGACCCCAGAGAGTGGGAGGTTTTCTAGCCAGAGCAGGGGTATCCTTACCGCCTGAGGAGCCCGTGGGGACAGCTGACTGCTGGGCATCGTGAAGCTGACTCTGCAGCTCCTCCACACGCTGGAGAGCATCCAGCTTCACACTGCGCTCCTGGGCAAGCCGGCTTCTCATCTGAGGGGAAAATGAGAAGCAGAGATGCTTTGTGCTCACTTTCGTTTCCTCAGTTCACATGGGGTTCCTAGGGAAAATGGGTGTCCCAGGCTACCCTGCAAAGAGAACTGGCTCTTAAAGTCCTGATTAGGCTGAACTCAGCCTTCTGAGAATCAAGAACTTCAGGAAGACCAGGAACTTAACCAAAAAGGAACAGTCCGTGGAATCCCTTATACCTTATAATAGCTAGGAGCTTATTCACAAGGTTATATCTTTCATGTCTATTTCATCAGCTAGGTAGAGGAAGAGGGGAGTGAGGGCCCAGTGCACACATGGCCTTGGAGGCCCAGCCACTGCATCTACACTGAGGACCTGTCAGAGCCCCTGGACGGTTTCAAACAGAGGAGAGACTTGATCTCTCTCCTAGATCTCTGCTCTCAGTTCAGCATCTGCCAGGAATGCCCTGGTCTGACAGAAGCCCATTTCCAGAAGCAACCTTTGTATTGACTTGTGTGGCTCTGCCCGTGCACAGCTAGCCCACACTCCCCAGCCAGACAGTGCCCGGGGCCACAGTGTATCTCATCTGCCCAGATCACAGGTGGTTTGGCTTTTTCAATTTATAATCTCCTAATTGTTTTTACTTGTAGAAAAGTAATACATACTCTAGTGGTTGGAAGAGCATCCCCCAAATTTCATGTCTACCTGGAACCTCAGACTGTGACCTTATTTGGAAATAGGGTCTTTGTAGATGGACTTGTTGGGATGAGGTCATACTGGATTTAGGGCGAGCCCTGAATCTAATGACTGTTGTCCTTATAAAGAAGACAGGATAAGGATACAGACACTCAGAGGAGCACATAGGAAGAAGGCTCCATGATGACAGAGGCAGAACTGGAGTGAGGTAGCTACAAGCCGAGGAATGCCAGAGACCAAAATGGGACTAAGAAGAGACACGGAACAGATTCTTCCTCAGAGCTTCCAAAGGAACCAGCCTTGCCAGCACATTAGTTTCAGGCTTCCGGCCTCCCGAGCTGTGAAGGAATACGTTTTTATTCTCTTAAGCCACTCAGTTTGTGATAATTTAGTAAGGCAACCCTAGGGATTGAACACACGTGCTAGTCTCAAGCATTCAGCCGCGTGTGTTATACATCCCACTCTGCCTGCACAGACCTGGCCAGAGGGCCCCACAGAGTCTTGCCCTAAACGTTAAAGGGGGCTCTTCCTTATGTCGGGGGGCCCCCAAGCATCGTTTAAATTTCAGAAGGTTACCAGAGCTCCGGAGTTAGGAAAACATCCTAATACAAACTAGGTCCAAAGTCCCTCTCCATACTATAGGGATTTGTGTAGGATCCTTATTCCCTATGGGCTGGTACCAAGGAAACATATCAAGATTTTCTGAGCCAGGCTGCCACTAGGAAACTTGAGAAATACTAGCAAGGAAGCGTGCTTCCTCAGGACCTCCTTGTGTTAGGCCACTCGTCCCCACATCACAGACGCCGGTGAAGTGACTTGCCCAAGGCCACACAGCCAGGATTTGAGTCCAGGTCTATCTACCTGTTTCCAAGGCTGTCTACCTTCACATTCCCAACAAAAATATAAACAGCCAACATTTACTGAGAGCTATGTATCACACCCTGGTTTTGCTGTTGTTTGTTTTGAGACGAAGTCTCACTCTGTCACCCAGGCTGGAGTGCATTGGCGCAATCTTGGCTCACTGCAACCAGGTTCAAGTGATCTTCCCACCTCAGCCCTCTGAGTAGCTGGGACCACAGATGCACACCCCCAGCCCTGGCTGATGTTTATATTTTTTGTAGAAACAGGGTTTCACCATGTTGCCCAAGCAATCCTCCCACCTTGGCCTCCCAAAGTGCTGGGATTACAGGAGTGAGCCACCACACCTGGCCTGTTTATTTTTGTTAACTTTTTACTTTTTAATTTTTTAATTTTTATTTTTTAGAGACAGGGTCTTACTCTTTCACCCAGGCTGGATTACAGTGGCATAATCTTAGTTTACTGCAGCCTTGAACTCCTGGGCTCAAACGATCCTCCTGCCTCAGCCTCCCAAGTAGCTGGGACTACAGTCATGCCTGTTTTAGGTCCGGTTTTAAGGGCTTTATTTGAATTACTTAATTTCTTAATTTAATCACCCCCTCCCAAATTTAGTGAAGTGAGTACATTGTTTCCATTGTAATGATGAAGAAACCAAAGCACAGATTGGCCACAGACCTTGCCCAAAGCCACACCGCTGGAGGGCCGGCGGTATGAACCAGTCAGCTCCACTCCAGGGCCTGTGCTCTAAATCACTGGTCCCCAACTTTTTGGCACCAGGTACTGGTTTCATGGAAGACAATTCTTCCACGGGGTGGGGGCAAATGGTTTCAGGATGAAGCTGTTCTGCCTCAGATCATCAGTCATTAGCTAGAATCTCATAAGGAGCGGGCAACCTAGATCCCTCACGTGTGCAGTTCACAGTAGGGTTGGTGCTCCTGTGAGAATCGAACGCCTGGGTTGGTCTGACAGGAGGCGGAGCTCAGGCGGTTATACTGTCAGCTGCTCATCCCCTGCTGTGCAGCCCAGTTTCACAGGCTATGGACCCCTACTGGCCCACATCCGGGGAGTTGGGAACCCCTTCTATAAGTGACCTCAACCAGGCACAGGCAACAGGCCAGGACACTGAGGCTGTCCGAGGTCAGACAGTGAATATCTGCCCATGCAGTCGGAGGCCGGGGATAGATTAAAGAAGCCACTTCTGGCTGGAAGGGGCCGGGGGTGTGGGTGGGGGGCTCGGGTCTTGCTGGCTGAGGATTGCTGTTTAGAGTAGGTAGGCATAGGGACACTTGAGCTGTCAGGAGAGCTGGAGCTGTACTCTACAAAGGGCCAATGGCTTATACATACATATGGTAAAGTGCACATTTGTTGAGAGAAACCTTAAAATATTTGTTTTGATCACTTCTAGAATATCTGCCATGAAACAAATAATTAACTAGAGAAAACCTTGAAGAAACGAATCTACGAACTTCTCTCTTTCTGTGGTGGCATTTAGAAAAGCATAATTTGTAACACAAAATCGGGATGCCAAAGTTTTCTTATAGGTTCGGTCATATTTTTGTTTACTTTTCATGCAATAAATATGAAATTCTAATTTTCTTTTATTCTAAAACTACTCATTTTCTCTCTCCACTTTTATATAAATATTTTCTGTAGCTTTTCCTCAATTCAAATTTTAATCTTTTTTTTTTTTTTTTGTCATTTTTGTAGATAGAATTCTCCTTATTGATCTCTTCCTTGAGCACTTAAAACACTTGACCAGGGGCCGGGCACAGTGGCTCATGCCTGTAATCCCAGCACTTTGGGAGGCCGAGGTGGGCGGATCACCTGAGATCAGGAGTTTGAGACCAGTCTGGCCAATGTGGTAAAAACCCCGTCCCTACTAAAAATACAAAAATTAGCCGAGTGTAGTGGTTCGTGCCTGTAGCCCCAGCTACAAAGGAGGCTGAGGTGGGAGAATCGCTTGAACCTGGGAGGCAGTGGTTGCAGTGAGCCAAGATTACGCCACTGTACTCCAGTCTGGGTGACAGAGTGAGACTCCGTCTCAAAAACAGAAAAAACAAAAAACAAAAAAACCACTTGACCAATAATTTGCCTTTCAATTTCCATCTCCTTCTATCTCTGATGAATGAATTCAGTAATCTGCTCATTCAATGGATATGTGTGAGGTGCCTGCTTTGGAAGTTACTTTTTCGTTTTTTATTGAATCACATTGTTTTCTGCTTTGTTGAAACTTGTATTAATCCACATCTACATTCTAGTATTCTATTCTATTTCTTTGTTGTTGGGTATAGTCAACAAAATACATTGGCTCTGCAAACCACTTTTGCCTTTCATTTTTGTCTCTGCAGCTCCCGAAACACTTGAATAAAATCTTCTTGTCATAGCCTCCCTTAACACTTGCTGCTTTTCCAGGTTACTTCTTAGAATTTTCTAAAAGATTCCTAGTTCAAAGATGAGAGCTGGGTAGAAACAGGTTTTTCCAGTAGGTTACAGGGGTGTTGAGATTCCAAGCCCTGAGGCAGCCAAGCTACCATGGCCTGCCCAGCAATCTTCGTGGTGTCGGGAGACACTGTGGGGAGAGATGCTGCCATTCTCCTGGGCTGCCTATAAGTCACAGAGGTTGAGAAACACTGCTGTGGGGGACAGGAGAGAGGCATGGGCACACGGGGGAAGGATGCAGCAGCCCTCGCTGGGGCACCAGGTGCACTCTGGGTGGACACCCCCTCTTACTGAGGTTTACCTGGTGGAGGTCTCTCTTCATTTTTTTCTGCTGCAGCTGGCCCAGCTTAGAAGCCCTCTCAGCCTCTTTACTAAGGAGCTGCAATTGCTGTTCTTTCTGCCCCACATCTTCCAAGAGCTTCTCCATCCTGGATGTTTTCATGAAGTGCAGCTGCTCCTGGGTGAGAGCTTCCTGGGTCACCCTATGTTCTAACTCCTTCAGCAGTTGAGCCTGTGGCAGGAAAACGCCAAAAGAAAGGAGGAGGCAGGGAGCCTTTCTTCCCAGCAGAAGTGGGGAGACGTTGGACAGCATGATAACCATCCCCTCCTTTGGGGCTCAGGGACACAACTACATGGTGTATTCCTGGACTCTAGAAAACGTGGCCCAATGATTCAGTCCTGCGCTAGCAAGAGCACCAGGATCTACCCTAGCCTGGCATTTACACTGTGAGCCCTGCGGTGACAGAGGGAAGCAGAACAGACACCAAAAGCCAGGCACACGATCACGCCACTGTACAGCAGTGCCAGGGCAAACAATTTGGTCTTTTAATACCCAGATTTGATCATATGTATGTTAGCTTACTAACCAGATAATCATATCTAGCACAAACAACATTTACATTGTTGTGGAGCCTTTGTCAGGAGGTAGCCGTGGAAGCGTTTAACACCAAAGAGACAGGGCCATGCCATACACGCAATGGGCGAGGAAAGGAGGTTCTGATTTAGGCTCTGTTTTCACTTCCAAAAATCTGGGGAAGTCAGATTCTAGACGGTTAAAGGAGGATTAGTGTAGAAATAATTTGGTTCTGTTCCAAAGTTTTTCTAATAAGTATTATCCTAAGTACTAGATGGTCAATCCTTACTCATAAGGATCAATCCTTAATCATAATATTATTATTCATATCTGTATGATGACGTTACAGTTTATCATGTAGCTCATGATAACTCATATGAGTTACCATAATTAACTCATCTGATGCAGAATCATGGAAGAATTAGGGTCTAAGATGAACAAATTAAATTTCATGCTTTAAATATGCCTAGCTTTCCCAGGCTGTAACTTCAACTCAACTGTTCTCACTCTAAACCTACAGTCCCCCTGCTTCATTCATGCCCAGAGGGTTGGCACAGTTAGGACACGCTTAGGCTTAGAGTGCCTTTATTTTGGTGCCAGCCCCTGTCGCGCAGCAGTAACTTCTGAAAGTGAGACATGGTATGGATCATTGGGACGGGACAGAGTCTCGTGCGGGGATGACACTGCAGGCTGGACCACACTCTGCTTGCGGAGGATTGTTGTTGAGTGGAAGCGTGCTTGCCCCATGAAAGCCTGTGTTCAAGGCAGAGGCCGAGATCACAGGATCCCAGGACAGCCTCTAGCAAAAAGATCCTCAGAGAAATGGACACACACACACACACACACACACACACACGTATGTGATAATGATCTTGCTAATGAGTAGTATTTTCTCATCTTAGCCACATACGAGTAAGAACAATAGCCTTTTGGCCACCGCCCTTGGTTTCTGGGCTGGAGAGGAGGGAGGAGAAGGGAAGCCCAGGTCCAGGCCTTTTCCTGGTTGTACCATCTGTGTGGCTTCAGGCTGTGGTGCTCTGATGACTGCTCCTGGCAGCCACAGCACCAAGTCTGGTGGCCACGTTCAGCTTTGCAGAGTGAACTGCAAAGGGAACGAGGAAGAGGCTCTGAGGCTCGGATACCTGGCTGTCCTGCTGCTTCCACATCCTCGCGCTGTCGGCCTGAGCCCTGGCCAGGGCCTGCCTGAGAGCCAGGATCTGCTGACGAAATAAACCCACTTCTCGCTCTGCCATCAGCTTGATGCGCAAACACTCTTTTTTACTTTGAATAGCTTCCTGTAAACATCCCAAACACAGTAAGATAGGAAATAGGTTTCCTTTCCAGATTTTTAGTTTTAAAAGCAGTATCTAAACCACTTTCCCATCCATTCTTCTTTCAAACTTCTGGTAGAAAGGAGCTCCTGCTAGTCACTGCTTCCACGATTTTATTTTATTTTATTATTTATTTGTTTAGAGATGGAGTCTTGCTCTGTCAACCCAGCCTGGAGTACAGTGGTACAATCTTGGCTCACTGCAACCTCTACCTCCCAGGTTCAAGCAATTCTCCTGCCTCAGCCTCCTGAGTAGCTGAGACTACAGGTGCCCGCCACCACACCCAGCTAATTTTTTTTGTATTTTTAGTAGAGATTGGGTTTCATCATGTTGGCCAGGCTGCTCTCAAATTCCTGACCTCAGGTGATCCACCCACCTTGGTCTCTCAAGGTGCTGGGATTATAGGCATGAGCCACCATGCCCAGCCCACTTCCATGATTTTAATTCAGAAGAGGGTAACATATCAGAGTAAATACTTTCAGAAACAGGATGTGAAAGTTTCCAAATAGCCATCAATATGCACTTTGGATTCAATTTGCCTTAAAGCAGATTTCTCACTTATTATTTTGTGACTTCATTTTCCTCAGATAATCATGTATGAAACCCAAAGATACTTTTGGGTTTTGTCTTTTGACAAAGCAGCCTCAAGCCCTTGGTGAAGCCTTTCCTCCATCTTTTCACACCCTTCCCTTATGCTGAATTCTCTGATCTGTTCTTTCTTGCCCCCTTTGCTTCTGCCCCCTTTCTATTTCTCCTGAAGTTCTCACACGGCCTGTTCCCAGGAAAAATCGCCAACTGTCAGATCCTTCAGGATGGCTGACCCTGCCACCTGACACCACTGCCACTCATAGCTACAGTGACACCATGGCAGCTGCAGCCATAGAGGCTTGGGATCAGCCATCCTGGGGACTGTCTGGACCTCCCCCACCAGAGCTCACCTTCTCTGCCCTGCTCAGCTGGGCCTGGAAGCGCGCCTGCTGCACAGCCAGCCTCCAGTGGCCCAGGCTCCTCACTTTGCACACCAGGGTGGCCAGGCTGCAGTTGTCCTGCTCCAAGGCCCATAGCTGTTCCTGCTAAGAAGGCTCATTTTCAGAAAAGTCTGCCCCCAACATTTTCATAGGAAGGGCACAAACCCTAACATCAGAAACATGCCTTCCAGAAGATGACACAATTGTGTAGTGCGTCCTCGTGTCCCCTTTAAAATGCCTGATGCAATGCTTTCTCAGGGAAATCAGGCTGGAATGCTAATGGGGTGAATGGTGGGGTCAGCTGCTAGAATGAAACACTGATAGCCCATTGCTAAATGAAATCACATACTTTGGCTGGGTTTTCTTTCATTCCTTCATCAGGGCTGGCAGAGCCCCATTTTTTCTTTAGGTCCTTCATATTGTCAATCCCTTCTGTTCTCACTTCACCGATGAGCTCACACACTTTCTGGATCAAATTAAGCTGATTCTCATCCAGCTTCTCCTGCAAATTGCAGACTCAAGTCAAGGAAGTAAAATGGATTTGGGTAGTGTGAAGGGCAGTTGAAGAAAAGCCATTTTGCCTTCTACAACTTAACTTTTGTAAGTAATTTCACATTAAGATGTCACCTACTCAGACAATTATTCTGACATGTACTATAAGGAAGTCACACTAGCGGCCCCCTGAGTGCTGTCTTTTATCCACAGGGCTTCATCATGGGGACACCAGCACATCTTAGACTGTGCCTTCCTTGTCAACACCAAGGCAGGCTGAGCCAGGAGGACAGTGGAGGCTCACAGGTAGAAAACCTGCTGAGCAAACTGCCCCTGGTAAGAGTTACTTGGGAAGCTGAACCAAAGATTTTTGCTGCTATGTTCACTCACGGCAGAATGTGACCAGACAAGACACTGTAGTTGAGCCACTCCTGAGGAGCTCTGTTAAATATAGATAAAGTGGAGGAGGGAGTCCAGACGACTGCCTTCCTATTTAGGATCTAACAGAAACCTCATTAGGAAATATTCTGTTCTGAATGGCTTACAGCTAAATGCCTTGTGAGGAAACAGCTTGATCAATGGTGAGTACAACTGAAGACCCAGTGCTAGGGACTGAATTGTGTCTTCCCCAGATTCATATGTTGAAACCCTAACCAGCACTGTGACAGTATCTAGAGACAGGATCTTTAGGAGGTAATTAAGATTAAACTGAGGACATAAGGGGGAGGCCCTATTGCAATAAGACTGTGGCCTTATAGGAAGAGGGAGAGAGACCTTTCTTTTTCTCCGTGTGTGCCATGTGAGGGCACAGTGAGAAGGCGGCCACCTGCGAGCCAGGAAGCAGGCCCTCAGCCAGAAGCAGACTCCACTGGCGCCCTGATCTCAGACTTCCGGCTTCCAGAACTGTGAGAAATACACTTTCTGTTGTTTAAGCTGTGCAGCCTATCGTATTTTGTTATGGCAGCCTGAGCAGACTAAGATACCCAGTGTCTTTGGGGTGAGAGGTAGGGTAGGGGTGTCCTCCAACTTCTAAACCACTTCCCTAGAGAGGAAGGCAGGAGGAGGGTGCCCAGCTGGGAGCCATGGAAGGAAGCCTGGCTCTGGCCACACAGCAGAAGCTTTAGCAACTTCATGGGATGCTGGAATATAACAGGGATTCCCTACTGTAGGAGGCTTGGTGGAACCACTTCAGCCTGGGAAACAGAGAGAATCCACTTTTTAACTAGGAATTTGGCAGAAGCTAAAGGGAACTTAAGACATTTCTCAACAATCTCACACCTGAAAGATGGCTTAGCAAATTCCAGCTGTCACTGTCTGCCCATTCCTCTCTTGCAACACCAGACCCAATACATTTTGGGTTTGATCCTTTAATACGTGTAATCATTTACACTGCAGGTAAGAAGAAATTCTCGCTGGAATGACCAGGCCAAGGTGAGCACTGGTGGAAGCTCCTGTTAACCTAATAACCCTGGGGGCCACCCTGCAATCCCTGGGGAGAGATGCAAGGACCCAAATGGGGCTGGCTTTGGGGTGTATCCAATAGCAGGGAAGGGGACAGGGTTGGGGGAAGCTGTGGACTTGCAGGTGGTAGGTTGTACTGAAATTCACACCGGCGAGTCAGCTGGACCAGTCTCCCTGATGGCCCATTTTAGGCGTGGGGCATCTGTCTTACGGCTGCGCAAACATCAGATGAAAGCGATTGGCTTCCACAATGCTGCGGGTGCACGCGCACCCCATCACTTCTCTTCTGCCATGGATCTTTGCTGACAGGTCAGCAGCTTGCTGACACTGAATGTGAGAGTAAAGCTGGCAGGCATTTTGAGGGTTTGAAAAAATTCTGGAAGCTGATTCAAATTCTGAATGTGCCCAGGGAGTTCTCCAGAGGCACCTGCTGCTACCTACATAAGGTCTGGCCTGGCCCAGGCACTGTACTCTGGAAAGTCGCACTAACAGATAAAATGGTGGTAGAAACTGGGGAGGTGGGGAATTTGGAGCAGCAGAACTCTCTCCTCCCAACAGCGATCAGACAGTGCCAGTGGCAGCTGTCAATAGAGGGGAAAAGGGAGACTTCTCTATTATCCCCAAATTCAGCGTCTATCATGGTTAATGACAACCCATTGCTGACTCTCTTTCTGCAGTGAAAGCTTAGAGCTAGAAAATTCTTAGGGCCTAAGAATCTCTTGTTCCCACAAAGCCCATTATTCTGTCATCGATCCCTGGGTGTGCAGCCACCGTGGGAATCCGTTACACTCGGCTCCCCAATGGGTGGCCCAGATGTTCGACATAGGACACTTACTTTCATGTGTAAACAGGTCTGAAACAAAGCTCGGACTAATGCCTCATATTCTTCTTGGACTTCTTTTCTAATCTGCTTCTTGAGATTCAGATTCACCTCTTCCAAGTCTGTGAGTTGGGCTCTCAGAGCGGTGATTTCCATGATCATATCATGACTGAGTTCTGCAACCTAGAAGCAAGAGAAAATGTGTGTGTGTGTGTGTGTGTGTGTGTGTGTGTGTGTGTGAGAGAGAGAGAGAGAAACAATTGAGGAGTTTCAAACTGCTCCTACAAAATAGTTTCTTATAGATCAGTATTGAATTTCACTTCTATTTTAAACCTAATGAAGCGAGTGAACATTCTGCTGCATAAATGTGGGCAGAAGAATTTAAGGACAATTCAAAGGTCCCGGAACAGTGCCAGACACTGGCTGGTGAAGAAGTGACCCCAGAAAGGCTAGTACATAGGCCCTTTCCAGTTAGACAAAAATACTTCAACGGTCTTGGCCTCCATCTCCAAACTGGCCTCCCCTTGACACCTCAGCCCAAACATCCTTTTTCTTTTTTGGAAGGCACTTTATTCTATTTATTTTATTTATTTATTTATTTATTTATTTTTGAGATGGAGTTTTGCCCTTGTTGCCCAGGCTGGAGTGCAGTGGCATGATCTTGGCTCACCGCAACCTCCACCTCCCGGGCTCAAGCGATTCTCCTGCCTCAGCCTCCCAAGTAGCTGGGATTACAGGCATGCACCAGCACACCTGGCTAATTTTGTATTTTTAGTAGAGATGGGGTTTCTCCATGTTGGTCAGGTTGGTCTTGACCTTCTGACCTCAGGTGATTTACCCGCCTCGGCCTCCCAAAGTGCTGGGATTATAGGCGTGAGTCGCCGCGCCCGGCCTGGAATGTACCTTAAGTGGCATCAAAAGAAAACAAACAACAACAACAAAACTTCCCAAAGTAACAACAAAAACAGAACAAAACAAAGCCAGTACAAAATAACAAAAGTGACCAAAAAACTCAAGGGAAAAAAAATGCACCCTAAGGAGGGTTGCTTGCCAAAAGTGAAGGCACGCTCCTTGGTGTTCCTGCAGTGGACCTTCACTGACGGGACTTCCACAGGTGACACAAGCAAATGACACTCAGGTGTCCCACAGCTGGCTAACCCTGAGAGTGTGGATGTGAGAAATGGAGAAGAGAACCTTTTTAACAGTAAATGACCTACCTGGCCAGCACTGTCTTCAGGCGGACCCTGGTCTCTCCGTGCAGCATCTAATTCCTGAGCAGGAGAAAGCAGTACACAACCAAACTCAGACATTTCGTCTTCCAACCACAGCTCAGGTCAGCACAACGCGTTCCAAACACTTCCTATTTGTGTGAATGGAGCCCCATTTTGAGAACCTTAGGCTGTGCCTGGAGCTGAGACTGTATGTGTTGCCCCACTGTACTTCAGGATGCTTAACACAGCCTCAGAAGACAACACCGACTTCCAGCTACCCACACTGATGCCAAGAACTGAGTAATGGGGATAGGCCAAAATGAGGGTGGCTCCAAGGCTCATTATTTGACATTTTAATACTTCATCTGGTGTTTTGGCTAGTCTTTTAGACTTCCGAACTTTTCTAAGGTATAAAGTAAAATCACACTAAACCTCTGATGCAATCTACCTTCACAATAGTGGGCAGCCCAGGGCAGGTGGACTGACTCTTCCATCCCACCAGTGGGCTCATATGTTAAGGAAGTCTCCCAGTGAGACTGACCCATGACATCCATCCTGAAGGGAGAGTTTACTTAAGGATCCTGGCTTCTTTCCCAGACCAGGAACAGCGCACGGCGCCTTGTGTTTGCCAAGGGTGGAAAGGTCAGCTATGCACCTTCCCCTGCAGGGCCAGCCCCTTTGTTGCTCACCTTTTGTATTTCCCCGCTGGACACCTCCAAAGCACATAACCTAGTGTGGGCAACTGAGAATACCAGAGCCCAAGGGAATGAGCCAATGAGAAGAGAGATTTGAGGGTACCATTCACCTTCAATTCTGGCATAAGAACCACTAGATGCGCCCCAACCCTCTCAGTTTTACTTTTCTCTTCTGAGTGCCTCCTGAGCCTCCCTGCCCACGCCCATTCCCCACTGCAGTTCTCATCTCTCTGGGAGCCTACTTGCTCTTTCTGGCTGAGCCTCTGCCTAGCGTGATGCAACACATGCTCATAGCACGTGGAGTAGGTCTCAAAGTTGCTGCGTTCTCTTGCCATCATGTCACAACCCAGGGAAAGGAGGCAGGCCTCAAGGTGATCTTTCCTGAAAGTGATCTGAAAGGAAAGAGGCATTCATTATTCACAGCCACTCTAGCAGGGCAGCCTCACCATGCCAGGGCCCCAGGCACTCTTTGCCTTGGCTCACAGACCCACTTTTGTTTCTCCTCTGTATCCAACCATGGGCTGTAGCCTTGCAAGCCTCTCTTTCAGGTCGGCTTTGAACATTTGCAGGGACACGAGGACCATGGAAGCCCACATAGCATGTGGTGAAACACTGAAAGGTTATAAATCAAACTAACAAACTATCAGAATGAAATGTTTAATTCTCCTACCTTGAAAAACAGACCTGAAAACTGACCTGGAAAGCCAGATTTGAATTTATTATTCCTGGACTACTGTTTGTTTGTTTGTTGGTTTTTTAGATGGGGCCTTGCTCTGTCGCCCAGGCTGGAGGGCAGTGGCGCGATCTCAGCTCACTGCAGACTTGGCCTCCCAAGTTCAAGCAATTCTCCCACCTTAGCCTTCCAAGTAGCTGGGATTATAGGGGTTCCCACCACCATGCCCAGCTAATTTTTATATTTAATTTTTTTAGTAGAGATGGGGTTTCACCATGTTGGCCAGGCCGGTCTCAAACTCCTGACCTCAGGTGATCCACCCACCTCGGCCTCCCAAAGTGCTGGGATTATAGGTGTGAGCCACCACGCCCAGTCGACTACTCTCAGTTCTGTGCTGAAGTAGGGACACATGGCGAGAGCTGGTCCCCAACCTATAGTTTACCGTGTGGCCCCCTTCTCTTCCCAGCTCTCGCCTCACGTCATGCTGTGAGGTCTTCACATGCCTGTGAGCGGACATCCTAACCCGCATGTCCAAACTCCATCCACACTCCCAGTTGCTCCTTGGTCACTTCCAGGCCAGGGGTGTGCACACTAGTGATGAGGTCCGTTCTCACTCTGGGGAAGGTGATCCAGGGAAGATGCCCATTCAGGCCATGGACTCAGGGAATTCCAGGTCCCAGGTACTTGGAGCATGGTCTAAAATGAAGGTGAGGGCTCTGAGCGGACATCTCCCTGTGGCCCAGGGGATTTCTTACCTTGTGAGGAAGGTCATAGCTGGAGAAAGGCCAGAGAGGGGCCCTCTGCTATATGGGGTATCTGGCAGGGGCTTCTCTTGCTCTAGTCTAAGGGCCACACAGCTCATTCTCTAGGCAATTCCACTCACTCCCTTTCTCCAGGAGATTGGGCCTGCTTTTTGAAGAGTTGGCAATTAAGGAACAGCCCAACTTTCCAAGGCAGTCTTAGATTTAGGTTCTGGAGAGAAATGGGAGCTAATATTTGGAAGGTAGGACAGACTTACCCAACTAGGACCTGCATATCTATGCGAGTGTGTTTGTCCCTCTGTGCATCAATGAGTGTGTCTGTGTGTGTGTGTGTGTGTGTGTGTGTGTGTCTGTGTGTGTGTGTGTCTGTGTGTGTGTGTGTCTGTGTGTGTGTGTGTGTGTCTGTGTGTGTGTGAGTGTGTGTGTCTGTGTGTGTGTGTGTCTGTGTGTGTGTATCTATCTGCAGGGATGGGGGGTGAGAAAGTTTATGGGGCCAAGTCTAGGACCCAGCCTACACTGTAACGTGAATTTTATCTATGACACTTCTGGGGTCAGGCCAGCTCCTGTTCCCTGGCCATCTGCCATCGATGCCAGCCCTGTGCACTCGGCCTTCTGGAAGCAGCACATGAAGCAGCCGTTGTGGCTTCCGTGGGCTCAGGCTTCTCTGGGCTCTCAGGGCAATTTATTTCCTAAAACCTGCTCTGCAACTTACCCTGCCTCCCTGGGTCAGTGTAAATGTCAGCTGTGCTTGTGTCAGAATGCAGCGTGAGTGGGCACCATTGGCCAGTTTCTTCTCCGAAACCCTCGCTGGCATAAGAGCTGCAGACTCAGATTATTGGCCCAGTTCTGCCCAGTAAGCAGCACCGCCTTCCACTGGGCTGTTCTGTCACCACCATTCAAACCTGAACCACGATGGATGGCACTGGGTGGAAGAGCAGCAGATTGCCCCAGGGATTCTTCAAGAGAACCAGCCTGGGGTGCAGCATGGCAAGCACTGGGCCTTGTTATGGCCAAAGTCTAGCCCTGAAGCCTGCCAGCAGCAATTGAGTTTCTGTGGTTTGCTTCATCTTGGAATCCCTTGTAACAATTTGTTAAATATCAGGCACACACGAGGTATTTTGAAGATGTTTCTAAAATACCCACCTCTGCTGACAAAACACTTCAGTGGGCTGGGGAGCAGTGGCTCACACCCGTAATCCCAGCACTGTGGGAAGCCAAGGCAGGCAGATCACTGGAGGTCAGGAATTCAAGACCAGCCTGGGCAACATGGTGAAACCCCGTCTCTACTAAAAATACAAAAATTAGCCAGGTGCGGTGGCATGTGCCTGTAATCCTAACTACTTGGGAGGCTGAAGCAGGAGCATCATTTGAACACAGGAGGTAGAGGCTGCAGTGAGCCAAGATTGCACTATCTCTATGATGGAGACGGGGGCGTGGCTGGAAGAGTAAGTTCACTGTCACTGCGATGGTCCAGAAGAGGCTAGAAGCCTACCAGGCACAGACTTTGGAGGGGCTGGAGCATCCTGAGGACCCTGACTTCAAGACACTGGCAGGCTGACACCATCCTCTTCAAGTGTGCCCAGAGTGTGGGGTGTATCTGATATGGGTTTGCTCTGCCTACTGATATCCATGCTTCTTTCCCACAAGACCTCAATGTTGGGGTGAAGCATACAGATAAGAAATGAGAAGAACTTGAGTCACAAAACTGTTGTCTTTATTGTGTTAAACATAAAATTTGCCACTATATCATTTTTAAAGGTACAGTTCAATGGCATTAAGTATATTCACATTGCTGTGCAACCATCACCACCATCCACCGCCAGAACTCTTCATCTTGTAAAATGAAAACTCTGTATCCAATAAACAATAATTACCTATTCTTTCCTCTCAGACCGTGGCAACCACCACCATCCTTTCTGTCTCTCTGAATTTGGCTACTCTAGGTACCCCATATAAGTAGAATCATAGAGTATTTGTGCTTTTGTGAGTGGCTGAATTCACTTAGCAATAATGTCCGCAAGGTTCATCCACACTGTAGCATGTATCAATGTATCAGAATTTCCTATTATTATTTTTTTAAAGATGGATTCTCACCCTATCGCCCAGGCTGGAGTGCCATGGCACAATCTCGGCTCATTGCAACTTCCACCTCCCGGGTTCAAGCAATTCTCTTGCCTCAGTCTCCCAAATAGCTGGGACTACAGGCATGTGCCACCACACCCGGCTAATTTTTGCAGTTTTAGTAGAGACGGGTTTCACCATGTTGGCCAGGCTGGTCTTGAACTCCTGGCCTCAAGTGACCTGCCCACCTTGGCCTCCCAAAGTGCTGGGATTATAGGCATGAGCCATCGCATCTGGCCAGAATTTCCTTTCTTTGTAAGGTGAGTCACAAATTTTTTCCATCCTTTTTTCTGATATGTCCCACCCTAACCACTTCCTTGTCTCAAGGATGGGAAACTACTTCACCCACCCAGAGTATCCAGTATCATGTTTGTTTATGATTGAAAGCTTAAACTAATACATGTAAGTCATCAAGTTCTGAGGAAAAATGTATCCCCAACCAAGCTTGTGAATTCTCTACCTCATAAGAACTGAGATGTGTATTAGAAAATAATGGAGAACATCTGAAGAACTTGGAAAAATGTAAGTTTGGAGAAGGCATTTTAAAAAATGAAGTACGTTTTGTCAAGTCAAATTTCTTTAAATGGTTAAGTTTCACAGGAAACTGGATTCACAGTTACCTAAAAGCACTTGTTAACACTCCTCAAAACTCTGTTACAGTCAAATATCCATGTCTACTCTCTTATCCTGTCTTTTCAGTGGGTTGATTTGATTTAGCAAGGCACTTCCTGACAAGAATAAACATGTTTCAAAACCCAAGGACTGTGTATATGTGTGTGTGCATGTATTAAATGTATATTATTATTTAATATAATATATGGAGTTGTTATGGATTAGAATATTTTTTCTGGAAGGACACACACAGATTGCTGAAGCTGGCTTCCTTTGCAGAGAGGAAGCTGGAGATGGTGGCATGGGGATGGGTGAAAATGATACCTTTCTGTGCTGTTGGCTTTTTTTCATATGCTACATTTTAATGTTTTCTAGGTAACAGCATTACAGGCTATTTTGGTTCTCCTCACTTAGGCTTTTCATACTAACAAATCAACAACAGAATATGTTGCTAAAAATCAACTCATTCATAAACTCTAAGGTTACTTTAAAAAATTGACCAAATTTGAAATTTGCCAACATATATATTCTAATGACTCAGATCTTTACTAGAAATCAATTTTTTCCCAAAATTAAAAACTAATGATTATAGCTGGGCATGGTGGCTCACACCTGTAATCCCAGCACTTTAGTAGGCCAAGGCAGGTGGATCATCTGAGGTCAGGAGTTCGAGACCAGTCTGGCCAACTTGGTGAAACCCCGTCTCTAGTAAAAATACACAAAAATTAGCAGGGTGTGGTGGCACACGCCTGTGGTCCCAGCTACTCAGGAGGCTGAGGCAGGAGAATCGCTTGAACCTGGGAGGCAGAGGTTGCAGTGAGCCGAGATCGCGCCAGTATACTCAAGCCTGGAAGACTCTGTCTCAAAAATAAATAAATAAATAAATAAATAAATAAAGGAAAAAACCAAACAACTGACAATTGCTCTGTTTTGGGCTTAGCCTCAGTATTCATATAATCATTCTTAGGGAATAAGGGAAGCATTAGGAGAGCAGTTAAATGAGAAAGTTTTCCTTGTTTGGGATGATGTTATAAAAACCAACAGAATGACTAATTCTCAATACATACCTCTACTCCATCATCCGGATAATTCTGCATTAATCTCTGTCTAAATTTTTCAACTATTTGTGGTCTTGAGACTGAAAAGTTTTCTTTCATGACTTGGTGTTTCCAGAGATCTAGGGGGAAAAACATGCCGGCACTAGTATCACAAAACATTGTGCTGTCATTGATGGCTGTAAAATGGCGACTCTGAGACAGAACACGGGACACAATAAGCTGTTTCCAAACTCAGCTGCCCCTTGATACATGCAGGGGCCTGGGAATTGTTTCCAGGAACACCCTCGGATCCTGAATCCATGCATATTCAAGTCCTGCCGTCAGCCCTGGGGAACTCGTGGATACAAATATCTGCCCTCTGCACACATGGTTTTCACATCCCGAACGCTGTATTTTCTATCCTTGTCTGTTCAAAAAAAATCTGTGTATCAGTGGACCTGCACAGTTCAAACCATGTTGTTCAAAGGTCAACTGTATGTAAAAACTAATGGGGGTTGGGTAACTGGGACCCTCTGGAACATGGGAACTAGGAAGATCTCTCACCTGACTCCTAATGCAAAGATTTGGAAGAGCACCTATGAAATCCGGGGAACAATATTCCATTACCATAACTAAAAACCCCAAATCAAATATTAGTATTAATCCTACATGATGTTTATTTTTACTAAGGCCTTCTATGTATCTGCCAATTATTTTGGTCTAAAACAATGATCAGAAATAAATGAAGAGCTGTTTATCTGCTTAAGTTCCTAATGCTAGAGGGCAAAATTAACTTGAATATATAGTAATAAAAAAGGAGAGAAAATTCTCCTTTTTTAGAAGAGAGAAGATAGAGTTACAGATTAGAAATGTTGACAGACTGAACTTTAGCTCCAAGATTGAAGCAGCAATATGGCTGACCCAGATGGGATGAGGCACGTACAAAGCTCCCCTGAGGCCAGGAGTTCAGCCAGGGCAACATAGTGAGACTCCATCTCCACAAAACATTTAAAATGGACAGGCGAGGTGGTGCATGCCTGTAGTTCTAGCTACTCGGGAAGCTGAGGTGGGAGAATCCCTTGAGCCCAGGAGGTCAAGGCTACAGTGAACCATGATTACATCACTGCACTCCAGCCTGGGAAACAGGTTGAGACCCTCGCTGTAAAAGAAAAATTTAAAGGGGTTGCATGTGATCAGTAGCTGCAACACTAGAAAGATGGCAGAACAAGAGCAAAGAAAAACCCCTTTGGTTCCAGAAAATCTCCTGAAAAAGAGGAAGGCTTATCAAGCCCTCAAAGCCACCCAGGCAAAGCAGGCACTTTTGGCAAAGAAGGAGCAGAGGAAAGGAAAAGGGCTCAGGTTTAAATGACTGGAATCATTCCTCCATGATTCCTGGCGGCAGAAACGTGACAAGGTGCGTCTCAGACAACTAGAAGTGAAACTTCACGCCTTGGAATTGCCAGATAAACATTTCTTGGCCTTTGTTGAATGCATCGAAAGGATTAATGGTGTGAGTTTACTGGTACAGAGAACCATTGCAATACTTCGCCTAAGAAAATTTTCAGTGGTGTCTTTGTAAAAGTCACCTCCCAGAACCTAAAAATACTGTGTATGGTGGAACCTTATGTGACCCGGAGGTTTCAAATCTGAAGTCTGTCTGGGAACTCATTTTGAAACATGGACAATCTGAGGTCAAGAATAAGACCATCCCTCTGACAGGCAACACAGTGATTGAGGAGCACCTGGGGAAGGTTGGCATCATTTGCTTGGAAGACCCCATTCATGAAATTGCCTTCCTAGAGAAGCATTTCCAGGAGATCTCATGGTTCTTGCACCCTTTCCACCTCTCTGTGGCCTGTAATGCTACCTAAATTAGAGTGGGCTTCCTCAAGGAGATGGGCACACCTGGCTATTGAGATGAACACATCAATCAGCTCATCTGCCAGCTGAACTAGACCCAGGTGTCAAACTGCAGTACATTTTTGTCAATGAAGTGGGAGCATGTGTTTTTGTTTTTTGGGAATTTTTATCAAGTATCTTCAGATAAGATTATTTCCTGCTTTATCTTCAAAACTGGAAAGGAAGCGCCAAAGAAAAGATAGTAGCTGGCTGGGCATGGTGGCTCACGCCTGTAATTCCAACAATTTGGGAGACTGAGGCAGGCAGATCACCTGAGGTCGGGAGTTCAACATCAGCCTGACCAACATGAAAAACCCTGTCTCTATTAAAAACACGAAAATTAGCTGGGCATGATGGCGCATACCTATAATCCCAGCTACTCGGGAGGCTGAGGCAGGAGAATCACTTGAACCCGGGAGGCGGAGGTTGCTGTGAGTCAAGATCGCACCACTGCACTCCAGCCTTGGCAGTAAGAGGGAAACTCCATCTCAGAAAAACAAAACAACAACAACAACAACAACAACAACAACCCAAAAAACAAAAGACAGTAGCTTATGTTCATGGCAAGGACCTCTCATCACAATCGAGCTCCAAGAAAAAATTTTAGTGTTTTCTGCATTGGCTGCTGCCCCATCTGAAATCAGCACATTCCATGGAGGAAGGAGTGCTGCTTTGCTGCATCTTCTATCCTAGGATTTAATGTTGGTAAATGAGTAACTCTAGCATCTGTACAAGGCTCCCTAAGACTCCCACAGCAGTCGACCAAGCCCAGAGACATAATGGGTTCTGGAGATTCCTGGGGCCTTGTTTTGAAAAAGACTTGAAATACACATAGGAAGAAACTCACAAAAATAAATGTTCACTTGTCTCTGAAAAAAAAAATAATAATAATAAAAAATTAAATAAAATTAAAATAAAATAAAAAAGTTAAAGAAAATAACCAGTTATTCAGAGGAACATTGGTTATGGCAGCAAAAGCTTGGAAACACACAAGTGTCCAGCCTTCAGGGCGTAGTTATTTAAACTATGGCCTACCCTTCCAATGAAATAGTATGCAGTTGTGAAAAAAAGAAAAATTCTCCATATACTGTTATGAAAAGAAGCACAGATTGTTAAATGAAAAAGGCAAGGTGCAGAACAGTGGCTATAAAGCGACACATTTTATAAGAAAGATAACTACGATGATAATAAAAGGGGAAGATATTCCCTCAAACCTACTAGGATTACTACTCCAGAAACTCCCCTTTCTTCTCTATCATCATTTCTCCCCTTTTTCCTGGATCACTCACAAGAGTACAGCTTATTTCTCCCATCTCACAAAAACCTTTCTCTTGACCCCACTTCACCCATCAGCTATTGCCTCATTTCTTTGTATCCTTTTGTAGCAAAACTCCCAGACAGAGAAGTCTACACTTAAACTGCCCTTTATGTCTTACCAATTCCCTCTTAACCCCACTTACCTGGTTTTCACTTCCACCACTTTACTGAAATTGATTTTGTCACAAACACCAGTGATCTTCATGTGGCTAAAGCTAGTGGTTTTACTCAACTACCAACAGCATTTCACACAATTTGTCACTTCCTCCTGCTTGAGAAATCTCCTTCACTAGGCATTGGGACACTGCGGTGCCCTAGTTTTCCTAACTCACTGTTTGTTCCTTCTATTCCTTCTAGATGTCTTTTGCTATTTCTCCTCTCCTGCCACCCCCAGCTGTTAACATTAGAGTGTCCCAGGTTTCAGCCGTGGTCCACCTCCTCACTTCTATATATATTCATTCCCTTGCTGTTCTCATCTCGTCTCACAGCTAAATAGCATTCATATCCTGACAACTCGCAAATTTAGATCCAATACTCACTTGGCATGTCTTCTTGGATGTCTAAAAGGCATTTAAAACTTAATTTGTGCATAATCAAATTCCCAATCTTCCCTCCCTAACTTGTTTCACAGTTTTCCTCTCAGTTGATAGAAATTCTATCTTCCCAATTGAAAACACTGGAGTCATAACTGGCTCTTCTCTTTCTCACACACTTAATAATACTCAACCTATTAGTGCCTACTTCACAATAAGCCCAGAGTCTGACCACTCAGTGTTTCCATTGCTCCCAACTTTGAACCACCATCACTCCTTTCTTCAGTAATTGCAATAACCTCCACACCAGCTTCTTTCTTCTTTCACCCTTTCTTCCTTCACAGCCTATTCTCCACACCTTAGCCAGAGACATTCTGTCAAAATATAAGCCAGATTATGATGTTCAAAATCTGAGACTGTGTCCCCACTGCATTTGGAGTAAACACAAAAGCCTCAAAAGGTCTTGCATGGTCTGCCTCCTTCCCCCTCCCTCTCTGACTTCAACACTTACTACTTTCTCTCCCTCATGGTCTCCACTCCAGCCACACTTAGGTCCTTGCTATTCCTTGAATATAATAGGCATGCTCTGCATAGGGCCTTTGTATGGCTTGTTCCTTCTGTCTGAAATGCTCTTCCTTTAGATACCCTCATAGCTCAATTCCTTACCTTATTACAAACTTTTGCTCAAAACATCACTCAGTGAGGTCTACCCTAATCACCCTATTTAAAATTGCAATGGGCCCCCTTCAAACCTCTGCAACACCACCCTTCCTTACTCCATTATTTTCTTCTTTCTTATGTTATCGCTTGTTGTCTACCCCGTCCTAGATTATAAACTCAATGAAAGTAAGAATTTTTGCTTAATGAAAGGAAGAATATATTCCTAAAATATTTCCTAAAATATAGTAGCCTAGGACATGGAATAGTTCCTATCATGAAAGAATGTAAATATTTATTGAATAGTCATTGAATGAAAGAATGAATATATGCACAAAGCAGCACTGAAAGGACATATAGAAAACTAATGAAAGTGGTTACATACAGGCAGCAGACTAGGGTGCAAGGGGGTTCATGGTGACAACAAGACTCTAAATGTATATTTTTCATCATTTTGAGTTTGGAACCATGTGCATATATTATCTGTTAAAAATAAGATATTTAAAAATAACATGACAGTGGTGGAACGATGTGAGAATGTCAGCACTGTTTGACTTCCATTCACATGGAAGAGCAAAAGCACATGTACATGGTAATTATATTGGTAAGAACTGGCTGGATAGGGCCTACCTCCTCGTGGTGGTCCTGGGGGATACTGAAAGGAAGAGATCTGTGGAGTTGGACTTAGGAGCCACGCTCCACCTTGTTCTATTTTCTGTTAATGGGGGGTGCTG